CAAACGGTAACTCAGCCTCGCTGAAAGCTGGCGTAAAAGAGACGCTTTCCACGATCATTGTGAGAAGACATCCCAGGTCCGAGACAGCGAGACCTGTAAGAGAAAACAAAGCACGTTTACATACGTTCGTTCTAAATTAACCAAAACTTGTCATACAAGACTCTCCTTGATATCCTAAGACCAGCCTTCATCATAATAATATAAAAGAATATTCTTCGTCATCACACAGGAGATTTGGAACAGTGAGTGTACGAACACTTTGTATAGCTGGAACAGCTGAGAACTGACCAGTGAGTTATCAGAACACAGGATGGATATAACAGCGATTCAAGAAATAAGATTGCCAGGACAAGGTACCATAGAGGCAAATGAAATGATTAAAGTGCATGGATGAAACACTCAAAACAAACATGAACTAGGGACAGAATTTGTTATTAAGAAAAATGTGTGCGAAAGTATTATAAATTATTAAGATGTTGATGATCAGAAAGTTAGGAATAAAAGAACATCTAAAAATATCACTATGATTATTGCGCATGCACCCACTGAAGATAAAGAAAATGATATTAAAGAAGATTTCTTTGATCGCCTTGAGAATATCATAGAGAAAACATTAGAAACGGGACATATTGTCTTAGGAGATTTCAATGCAAAATAGGAAGAGAGAACACATATACACTTGTAGAAAGCATGGAAAGCCTACATACAGTTTCAGATGATAATGGGTGCACATGAATCAACCTCACAGAAGCCAAACGACTACAGAAAATGAGCACCATATTTCAAAGAAAGGATATACGTGAACAAACATAGCAATCATGTGACAAGATATATTATAATTAAATAGATCACATTTTAATAAACTATAGAAAAGCATCGAACATACAAGTTAGAAGCTACAGAGGAGCTGAGTGTTGTAGTGACCACTACATGGTTGGTGCAAAATTACAAATCATGCTTCAGAGATACTTCTACACCAAGTTGCATAAATCACATCTAGAGTACATTAGAGAAAGATTACAAGAAACATTCATATCAGAGAAATTTGCAGATGGATTACAACATAAAACGGGAATTTTAGAAAATCCGCCAGAGGAAGATATTGACCAAACATGGATGGATATTAGGAATATAATTCAAACCACTGCAGAATAATGTCTTGGTGTGTCTACCATTCACACAGAGAACAAATGAATCGATAAAGAAAAAAAAAAAGCCAGACAGATGTGGCTAAAGGACATTAGTAACATACAAAAGTAAGAAAAATATATCACACAATGTAAAGAAGCTATACAAGTAATTAGGCAGCAGAAACGATAATACAAGAATAACATTGTCATGGATATGGAAGCTAACCATCAGAATAACAAGTCCAGAACGTTTTTTTTTTAAGAGCTGAAGGCTGTAAAACGAGGTCATTAACACAGCATTTAAAGTTTAAATGAACACAATGGGAACATGATAAATAATAACGAGGAAATATGTAACAGAAGGAAGGAATACTTTGCTGAACAGTAAAAATGTGAAACCACACTTATCCACAGATAAAGATATTAACATGTGAACCAAATATTGAAGAGCCTGATTTTGAACAAGTATTGTATGTTATAACATGGCTTAAAAACAATAAAGCAACTGGTGCTGATGAAATTGCCTCTGAACTTATAAAAGAAGGTCTTTGTGCATTGTATTTAAAGATACATAAATTAACAAAACTAGTTTGGAAGACAGAGAAGTTACCCGGTGAGTGGAAAGTGTCATTATCAATACCCATTTTTTTTTTAAAGAAGACAAGCACATATATGAAAATTATAGAGGAACATCATTATTATCTACAAGCTATAAGATACTATCAGCGGTACTGCTAAACAAACTAAAACCATACGAAGACATATTGGGAGAAAACCAAGCGGGTTTACGACATAGCAGATCAACAACAAGATCAGATACTTTTTTTTTTAAACGACAAAGAGCAGAGCAAAACAGGGAATATAGATGTTATGTACATACTGTTTTTTGTGGATTTTAGAAAGGCTTGTAATAGTGTATATAGAAACAGTTTAAGGAATGCTATGAAAAACTTTGGAATGCCAGAGAAGTTAATTACCATGACCAAACTATGCATGGAAGACACTTATAATATAGCAACATATAAAGGCAGAAAGTAAAACCCTTTTCAAATAGCATCGAGTTTTAGGCAAGATGATGATCTGTAACCACTTCTTTTAAACTTGGCAATGGAGAACATTCTAAGGACATTGGAAAAGAAGTGTACTATAGGAGAAACTAAAAGGATACTTGGCTATGCAGATGACATTTATATGGTTAGAGAAAATGAAGTGACGGCGGTTAACACACATTCTCTTAAAGAAGCAGCTCACACAATGGGACTAGCTACCCATTAAGATAAGACAGAATACACGATAATAACAAGACAGGGAAAGGATATAAAATCTGGCCACATGCAAGTCGATTATATGAAAATCAAACGCAAACAAACATATAAGTATTTAGGTGCAAACTGCAACTGCTTTAACATGGTGAGAGAAGAAATACAATCTAGAATATAGATACAATGTAACATAAAGTATACTATGGCCCTCAACATTCGCAAAAGTTAAAATACCTTTTTTGCAAAACCTAGATCAAAATATATAAAACGTTGATAAGACCAGTCTTTTCATATGGCTCTGAAACATGGAGCACAGCTAGAAGAGATTAAGCCTTATGACATTTTTTTTAAAACAGAGTTTGACGACTAATCTTTGGGCCCATGAAATATGCAAACAGCGGGGAATGGAGAGCGAGAAGCAATAACGAAATTCAAAATCACCACTGATCACTGGCATCATGAGAGCTAATAGACAGAAATGGCTTGGAAATATTGAGAGAATGTTTGATGACAGAGAGGTAGGAACTGTATACACAAGGGAGGTGTATGGTCCCGGACACACCAAGAAGACAATGGAGAGATAACGCCCAGACAGACCTGCAAACACCCAGTGTCACTAACTGGAAAGAGAAGGATACCAGAAAGATGAGTGGACGCGGTGATATCTGCAGCAATGAACCTCAAGGGCTCAGAACACTAAGGAAGAAGAAGAAGAATATTCGCCTTCGGTCTGCTACTTCAATGTGATGTGTCACAATTTGTAGGAAGCTACTGTAAAGTGCAGGTAAATTGCCTAGGAACTGTTATTGTTTTAATATCGACAGAACTAATCACACAGGCCCAAATATTCCCACTCAAAGACTTCGCCTACACAAAAAAATGGTAAATGCAGGAAGTAGATTTGGACTAGGTACATTTTTTTTCTACTCTCTGCAAGGAATCGTACTTGCTTTTTGTGTCACCTGTAACCCTCTGGTTATAAATGAATGTTTTAGAATTGATTATTAAGCAATCAAAATGTTTTAGAAATAATTATTACGCAATAATATACAGATTTGCTCATCTTATATCGCGAACATAAACATTTTTTTTTTTAGCTGGTATTACTTGAGGCCATCGATCAACTGATTTATGGTGATTTAAAAAATGGTGACACTCACTTACGTGTTCTTTAAAAAAAAAAAAATCAAAGCTCAAGATCCCTTTTTATTGTCATTGCCCATACAAAGACATAACTTATCTATTATTCTTTACCTGCGCAGTGGATAATTCACTGTGGCTTGGAAGGCAATCGGACAGATCATTGCTGTCAACCAAATACTTAACCCACCATCAACACTAATACAAGCTAAAGAAAGGTGGCTGGATCAATCACTTCATTCTCTAGAGAATGCTCATTATGTCAATGACAGTTATTTTTGTTTGAATGTTAATGAATGATACTGCAAGTAACTAGTGATTACATGATGTTAGGGGGATTTTATCAATTATGCAGCATCATCTCAACAATGAAGGTCACCTGCAGTAGATCACTAACACACTTAAAAAAACAAAAACTGGATGCACACTCTCTCAGAATGGTGGTCGTCTGTCTCTTGATGAAATCCCCAATGTGTATCCATATCAGCCTCTTACCAGCTTGCCATCAACTTCTCTCTAATGTGGATGTTTAAAAAGTGTTCTTTGAATGGGAAACAAATATATATATATATATACATTTTTAAAGCAATTCTTCTTTTATCCCTAGGGTCTTCAGAACCATTGCATTTGACTGCTCCACGCCCCCCGCCTCCCCCCCCGTCCCCCAATTGATATAAGATCCATTATTCCGTATGTTCACAACTTCAGAGACTCAGTTTGCTCATCTCATGATTTGCTCTTCTTTGTACAAGACGTCGCACAATTCGAGTGGCAGCTAGGGGCGTCAGGTGGATACGGGCCGCACCGGGTGTCGTCACTAGCTAGGGTGACAAAATGGCAAACATATATGTTTTTAACATTAACTAATGTATGTGAGTGTTTGTCTGTGTGTGTGTGTGTGTGTGTGTGTGTGTGTGTGTATACAGAAGCTGACAGGAAATTGCCTGCATCGAGTATTACATGACCTTGGGCTGACATAAAATTTTCCTTTCAGTGTTTACAGCCGGTGAACAAAAGAAGAAGAAGAAGAAGATTGTATTTAACTTTGGACAATTCTTTTTTGTTATCTGCTGTTATCTCTCAAGACATTAACGATTACATGCTGCAGAACTATTGCTTGGCCATTTGTTCTTCTTTCTTTGTTCTTCTTTCTTTGTTATCTATTGTTCATCTTAGTAATGTTTACATGTTGCTGAACTATTGATTGGCTATTCTTTTTTCTCCCTGTCTTCTGCATCTTCTTTTTCTTTCGTTCGCTTGAAATAGATTATCTATATCTGCAATGTTGTCTCCAGTATAAACTTTACTGTATTTTATAATTCACTTAGCGACATGTAATGTTTGACTTGCACGTTGTTTCTCTTAGCCAAAAATTTTGAATTGTTGTATTTGGGACAGTATAAGAGGATATGATTTATTTTCTTCTTATGACTTCTATTTCCCTTCTATTATTAATGAACTATGTTACAACCTGAATGTCAGTAAGGACATACCCAACAGGCTAACATTAACAGACTCCTTGAAGCCTTGTTTCACGAAACAGATGATATTGATGATGTTAGTGAGGACACCAAAGATACTAATCGTCTGGCACAGACCCGTGTAGATGACCCAGTAGCAGATAGTAAGTACATGATAACTTAATAAAAACTTGGACTCCTCTTCATCTTCTGGAAAGTAAACAATCAACCTTGTGGAATACGAAGAATTGTCTGCACCTATGGAAGTCATTCTCTGGTATTTTTTGTAGACGGTTGTGAGTTAAGTGAGTATATCTTTTAAAATGTACACTAAAACTCTATTTTTTTCCCCCAAAAGATATAGTTCGCATACGAGTAGTCTAACAACCGTTTTATTGATATATACTTCTCATGTGATCCATTTCAACAGTCACTGTGGGTGAAAATCAATTACCACGATCTTTAAACAATAACCCGTACTAACAATTTAAATGTTACATTTTAAAAGCACTATTAAAAATTGGCAGAGTGACACGTAAGCTTGTGAAATAATAGATGACTCGCTATTATTTAGTGTTTTCTAGTGTAGATGTATTTTTAAAAAAAATGTTTCCTTTCGTAGTTCCGCCAAACTATTATTTTTGCACTTCTGCAAGAAATGGTTAAATCTATAAACATGGTAATTATGTAGTCACAGAAGTTAAGGAATACAAAATATAGCAGGTTCACAAGTACTATCACGTCTTTATAATCTGCCACTTTAAAGTTTGCCGAAGTGCACCGTGACAAACCAATTACATCGAGGATGTTTTTTTTAACAATTATGTAATTACTGGATTACCAATGACAGGTACAAGTAATCTGCCTGCGGTTTCTAACTGCTTAACTTTGATAATGAGACTAAATATGCACGTGTAATAATGCATTTTGCAGCGGTTTACCTAGCTCTGTGAACAGAAAAATGAATAATTGTGAAATTCACGATTTCTTGCTGCAATGCTTGAAGTGTTACCATTGAGTATCAATAAGTCTGTAAGTGTACGCATCCTAATGACATACATAAATATTGTACACTCAATGTACACATTGTGCATAGGTAATGCGTACATAGTGCATACAAAATGAATAGACCATGCAGGAACAGTGCATGGATAGTAAAACTTACAGGAGTCAGGTCGATAATATGTCTGTTTGGTTGTTTGTATAAAACTCTCTCTCTCTCTCTCTCTCTCTCTCTCTCTCTCTCTCTCTCTCTCTCTCTCTCTCTTTCTCTCTCTCTGTCTCTATCTCTCTCTGTCGGACTCTTTCTCACTTTCTCTCTACATACACACACACACATACAAATAACACTGACACACACAACATATAAATATATATATATATATATATATATATATATATATATATATATATATATATATATAATATATACATATGTAAGCATGTGTGTGTGAATGGCAAACAAATTTTGCCCTTCTGCAAATCAAATCCACCCTTTTCCAAATCAGAATTATCAGAGTGGACTAACTAGGAGCTTCCGTCGAGGTCTGAGTGCATCTGCCTGAGAAGCAAAGAACCAACAGTCTGCACCCAAATGTGTTAGATTTGTCAAACATATGCACGCGAACACTCAGGTTCTGGGACAGGATTGCAGTCCAGAAGTGAACGAACAACCAGAACTTTCCACCAGAGTTTACAGCTGGTGAACGCAAAGAAGAATACGAAGAAGAAGAATCATCCTTATTCAATCAATAAAAATATTTTCTTGTTCTTTCATTTAAAGAAAACTCATCTGTCTTAAGTTATCTTTATATTAAACCTGTTATTCTATAGTTGTCGTATTAAACACCTAACACATATTAAAACTAGAAATAATTATATACTTGCAGCATCTTTTATGCGGTTACTTGTATTAAATTTACATGTATATCTATGAAGTAATTATGATGTAGGAGTGATTGGTGCAACATTATTATCAATACCAACCAGTATGTGTGGTTGTCCCGTCGTAGTGTAGCTGCCAGATACTCGCCTGTTGAAGCGAAGGACATCGGTTCAGGTCCCGACTTTTCTCAAAAATGACCTTGGCTCCCAGGATGACCCTAAATTAAACGAGTACCAGGTAAATAGTTAGCGGGTGGGGCGGCTTATGGGTATGGGCTCCGTCAGGACATCCCTTGCCTCTTCCCTAGCAAGCAGGCAATACTAAGGTGACCGTTTACTTCCTGAACTGAAAGTTTATTTTCTATGGATTTTATTTTAAATAATACAAAGAATCATTACCAGAGCATATGGTTATTACATTTGCAATAATCAGATAGAGCGGAATTTTAAAACTAACGCGACTTCCAGGTCGACAGTAATGAGAACCAGGAAATCAAACAGAAAATAAGATAGCACCTGTCATACTGAACACATTACCTCCCAAGGGTCTACTGACAACTTTACAAATATGTATCTAACTCTAAGAGGCAACGTTATGTCTATTTTGGAATTCGCACAGTTTCACAGAGAAAGTCAGAATAAAGGAGTGTTGTTCTGTAGCAATTTCCTAATTCCTATTTCGTAATCCCAGCATCTATATAGGAACAAACTCAAAGGAAGCAAGTACAGCAGGGATCTACCAGTCATCAGTAGAAGTTATCCTCGTCGACAAACGTTTCGGCCCACGATCTCCTAGGCGTTTTCAGAGGTGGGCCCACCTGAGTTCATGAAGCTCAGGACTGGTACCCTGCTGCACGAAATTACCGGATGGTGTTTTTCTTTCGGATAGGGACAAGACGACTTGGTGATTTTCATAAGGTACTGTGAGATAAGAAGTCGCCACGGTAGCCTAATTAGAACAGTCAGCATACCTGGACGACCGAGCGACAAGCTTACGATTGGTTTACCGGACAAATGTATAAAGTATATCCTAATGTCCTGTATAGATGTTCATTAGTCATGCAAACCTTATAAACCGGGTCTGAATGGTCAGGAGGCGTGGCTTCAGTCTCGAATGCTGGAGGTCCCTGGTTCAGGCCCAGATGAAGCCTGGGAGTTTTTAATTTTTTTTTTTAAGTGGACTTCTTAGTAATTTCCCCTGGTCTATGGGTAGTAAGATCAGACGCCTGTGTGTATTGTTGCGCACGGGCAAAATTTGGAGATTAAAATGTATCTACAGTATTTCGGGATCCTCGCCGGTACGACGGAGTTCGTGTACTGTGCGAGATTTTTCGGATTCGGGCTTGAGTTAGAAGTAGAATGGAGCACTAATGGGTTATTGCCCTTGTGCCATGATGTTGTAAAAAGTAAAGTAAAGGACCTTTTACCACGCTTTTAGGCGTATAGAGCATACAAGTAAAAGTAAAGATCCCTTTTTCCGCCATAGGCTCATCGGGAATGTGGGAAGTGCGTCCCATATTTTTACAGACCAATCGGCACTGGGAGGGGAGGGGGTGGGGGGGGGGGGCTAATGTGGTAAGCATCACGCCAGATAGAGCATATAGGGCTAGACCTATATTTTATAGACTAAGGGCACAAGATGTGTGATGTGGTCAGCATCACGCCGGCCGCCTCTACTTCCCGAGCCATGATGTTGGCCCGTTGTTAAAACCTAAAACCTAAACCAACTAAGTCTGTCTACAGGCAGTGATTGTTGACGCTGAGGCAATGACGTTAGCGAACGTGTTACTGCTGGTTACATAACTATTCTGGGTTAACTTTAGGACCCTCTAAACCAGTGGTCTCCAAATTTTTCAGGTGGCGCTCCCCAGTGAGTATACGACAAGATTCTCCCGCTCTCCTCCCCTTAAACCCCCCCCCCTCCTCCTTTTTTTCCCAAAGGATCCACTAAACATATCAAATATTTTTTTTTAAAAGGAATAAAAAAATTTTCAGTGTATGTAAAGGAAAAAAAAATGAACTAGGAGAAACAATATTCATGTCAATCAATTGTCAAATATCAAAAGAAACAGCCACCAACAAATGGAATTAGACGTTTATGTCATGGAGCAACAAAAAAAGCTATTTGACTTGAAGGCAGCAAGCAGGTGTTTGACACAGTTATTACTTTAAGGTTAGTTGCTTATCCTTTACAGGACGTTGCAGAACCAGCCTCAGCAGCCCCTGGCTGTTGTGTGTTTTCTCTAGGCAAATTTACGTCTAGTAGTTTGCCATTGCCTCTAAACCATCGGCCCCTTATACCACTGTCGAAACCAACGCAAAGCGCATGGCCCGCAACTGGGATCGAACCCAGGCTACCCAGCATTACGAAGCGTTCGCATCGACTTAGCCACAGAGGTTATTATTTTAATACGTACTTAAATACCTTTCCAAACGTACGTGTCTCATTGCTTCTTTGCAGAGAACGAATGGTAGACAACACACTGAGGTTGTTACTTACATTTTCTGTCTAACACCGAAAAAAAAATAATTAATAGAGTCATCTTTGTACAGTAATGTCTTTTGCACTATGCATATGGTATTATACTAATTAGATTTCAGAAGATCGAAGTACAAACTGCTCATTAAAAAACAAAAACAAAAAAAAAACTTGGCTTTTTGCTTTATAAATAGTTTTAATAAAAATGTGCAGAGCTAAACTAAAAGAAAAAAAAATATATGTAAAATGGTTTGTTACAAATACAAAAGATCTCAATTTCCAAATGTCTTGGCGCCCCTCTGGAAACGACTTCGCGCCCCATTGGGGAAAGTCGCTATCCAGGCTCGAGACCATTGCTATAAACGCATAAAAACTTTAGGCAGTTAACCTGGGGTCACACCCGTATGTGTGTCAAGTGCTTGTCCGTGCAACAAATAGCATTTCTATGTTGAAGGTGTAGCTGTTGAAGTCCAAAGCTCAATTTTAAATATCTAAACACATTTGCCGATCTAGTCCTTGGTGTAAATTCAAGCTGGGCATTATTACCATCTAAACACTGATTCTGTGAATGT